GAGCTCAGCTCTCCCTTTCCCCTTACACGTGATGCTTCCGTCCCGCTCTCTCGTGCCTCTCTCCCTTCGCCCGCGAGAGAGGGGCGGTGATGGAGATCATTGCCATCCCATCAGCGCCCTCGCCTCGTCATCTGATCTCCATCACCGCCCCTCTCTCGCGGGCGAAGGGAGAGCTGAGCTCTCCATGGGCTACTTATTTGCCCATGGATACATAACCCTCGTTGTAGGTCCCTCCAAGAACACGGAGATGCATGATATCCCCTGCGACGGTGCCGGTCAGAGCTCATGGACACTCCAGGAGGGAGACTATGGCGTACCTAACACGTGGCTGAGGTCCCGATACCACGGTCTAGAGCGCGGCATGTTGAGCATATTGCCAAGGATTGGAAGAGGTTTCGGTCCGGAAGGTAGAGGGCGACCAAGAGTACGATTTCTCCATTGTGCGATGGAGCGCACATAGAAGACAACTACGAATGCATATGCAAAGGCAAAGCAAGTGATCTGAGGCATCGTGGTCGTGCTGAAGAGTGACCGAGCTACAGTGAACGAACGTATGAGAGGGTCAAGGGGAGCCACTACACGTACCCCAGTAACTTCAACTTACTCCAAGGGGTGACATTTGGTGCGAATGCAGGGAATATACTACTCGGTTTCCGGGAGCATCTTGGAGGAAGAGGCTCCTCGCCCGAACCTGGTTACTCTCAGGCCGTCAGGCTTCTGAGCACAACTGACAGAAGGAGTACGTAATGATGGTCGGGCAATGCAAGGTAAGAAGTTTAGTAACATACAGTCCTGCAGACGAAGATGATCACACCGTGGCATGCAAACGCGCTATTCCAGTCGTGGGGAATGCATGAGAGGTGTTGTAGCGGCCTAGCGGTTTCATTTAGACTAGTCGTGGTCAGAGTGCACGATTGCGGGGCGATTCTGGGACAATTCTGAAGGCAGTTGAAGTTAGGGGCGATTTTGGCATAATCGTGCGGAATCACAGAAGCTTCCCCGGAGGAGCTTCTGCCCTCCAGAATTGCGATTGTGTTGGCCGCAATTCTACCACTCCCAATATCCTTCCCATATCAATCATGACCATAATCGTTCACGTAATCTCCCTCGGTTATAGAGTGGTCAGAGTAGGCCAAGATTTCGACACAATTCAAATATTCAGAATCGGCGCACAGTCACTTCAAAATCGCGCACTCTGAACTTCCCTATATTTGTTGAGCCCCGACCGACATCGAAGAATACCATGATTCCGAGAAGTTTCCCCCTACTCGGGACCTTCCAAAGACATGGTGTCTGCGTCACGAAAGGGGTTTGAAGATGAATCATTTCCTTACCAGTTCCTGTTGCAAGGGCATCACGAGTAGAAAAACAGTAAGGAAATGATTCATGTTCAAGAGCTTTCCACAATATGGACATCATGAGCAGACGGCTGGCTGCAAACAGGCCGAAAGGTAACACCGTATTGCGATGGCCTGTTGGACGCACCATCTTCTCTGAACAAGTGGAGACCTTGTCGGACCTATCATCGGACATCTCAATGTGGCCTCCATCGTCTTGCACTCTGCACGGAGATTCTCGTGGCTGGATAGTAGAGTCAATGATATCTGGTCGCGACCGAAAACAACTTGGAGCCTCAAGGGCCCCGGCCAGCAGAGACTCAGAGAAGGCAAAAGTAAAGCGCCTGCAATGCGTGCCTCCCCGGGCCGCTCCTGTAGCCATTCTCAGCCAGCGCTCATGATGCCGACGACTACGACTTGCGTCGGTCGATCACGTACTGCGACCTACCTTACATCGAAGGTGGTATTATAGTGGCCGCGGACTGTGCAGTAGCGATGAGGGTGGTTAGGTGTAAAGTATGAGGCTGTATGTGCCCGGAAACGGAGATCAGGACGCAAGACACGCAAATGGAGGTCCCCCTGAAACCGGCGCAGAAATGCTACACTACCGGACGTGAAAAACTATGCGGCGGACATACTGCTTGGACATGGCTTCGACGAGGAGCCCGTATACTCCTCCTTTGATGCTAGGTATATATCATATGGAGGAGGGACCGGGGGACATCAGTACAGTTCTGGTTCCCCAACTATGAATTGTCGCGAGGAATTGTCTAACTTGAGGCGGGATAGGACATCAGTTTATGTCACTTATTGTTCTGATCATGCTTGGACAGTTTCCGCTGTCCGTTAGCGGTCAATCTAAGTATTCACCGGCGCGTTCTCCCGACTCGTAGTTGCTACTAATACCATACGAAGGTCTACAAGACTGTAACGTTCCGCTGCACATTGTGCAAATCCGGCAAGCCTACAGACTCCTCATTCTAGCGTAGATCAGCAAACGGGGGCTAGGACTACTTGCTCTTGCCCGTTCAACGCTTGGCGGGCAGCAGTGGCATGGGAACTTATCAATGCTTCGGCCGTCGCAGACCTCGGCTTGATCGTGCATCGAACATCCTCAGGGTAACTGTACCAAAGTCATGAGATGATACCATCACTGTCGGAACGCGCCTGGCACGTACGAGATGAGGCCACCCGTATGCCCCTGCTTGACCTCGATAGGTAGACCATCCTCTCCGAGCGGCGGGGTAATATCGAAGACGTGGATTGCGCAAGCAACGTTGATAAACAACGCGGATTCGGCGAAATAGCGTCCAGGACATATCCTGCAAAACAGCTGAGTCAATCACAACATAGGACTACAGCTCGTAATGATGTACCTTCGACCATAACCGAAAACGAAATCAGTCGGATCTTGCACTGTCGGATCCAACTTTCCATTGCGGATGAATCGCTCTGGTCGGAACACGCCTGGGTCTTCGTATACCTCGGGATCGTGCATGCATGCCCTTGTATAATGTGGTGCAGATTTTGAGGGCAGATAAGGGATGAGAGACGTTATGAACATGAAGCCAAGTATCTGTACATACCAAGTGTTCGGTATCACCATCGTCCCAGCAGGGATGAAGTATCCGCGGAACTCGTCATCGGCAACCGTCGCGTGTGGAACACCCATGGGGAAAGCCGTATGCCATCGCGTTGCTTCCTTGATAATCGCGTTGATATAGACCAGCGAATCCTTGTCGCTGAAATCTGGCAGGCGATGAGGGCCGACCACTTCGTCTAGCTCCGCATGTGCCTTTGCGAGCACCTCCGGATGGAGTGACACGCCAGAGAACACGGATAGCATCGTGGATAACACCTACAAGAGCAGGATTCAGCGAACTGATTGATAGAAGTACGTGAATTATGTACCGTGTCGGTTCCAGCTGTGAAGGGCAAGGCTGAGCATGGAGCCGAGTCTCATCAAAGCGATCATAGTCGCACCTTCAAAAACTATGGCCCCGACATTCTTTACGATCTCTTCCTCTTCTGGGGATGAAATACCCATATTGCTAAGTCTTTCAAGTGAATTCGCCACAATGGAATGTGTAGTCTCTCCACGGGCCTACCACGAGAAATCATGCGAGAGTCAAAGAAGACATTCCTCAGCCGCAAATCCCATTGCTAAATAGATAATGCGTTACATACCAGCTTGGCTTTCGCTTCTTTGAATGGTGTGTTCTTCAGTCGTTCCCCTGCCGCTTGCCACTTCACCCATAGTCTCTGTGAGGCCGCGAACGGAAACCAAGGGGGAACGTGCCGAAGGAAGGGTAGGAAATCGACCAAGAATCTCCCCGGGACCATGCCTTCTACAGGCCCCTCAAGCGCATCCTTCGTAATCTGCACGTATGGGTCGTCTTTGCTCTGCACGGGGATGTCATACCCAATCTTCATGATGACTGCTGTGAAATTGCTGCCCATGTCGGTGGATGAGCCAACGGAAGCAGTGACAATCACGGCAGACATAGACATACAGACGGATGGCCTCCCTCAGATCCGAGGGCCTTTCGCATAGCTCCTGCAAGAAAATGTGGGCGGCGGACTGCTGCGTTTTTCTATATCCTTCCGTAGCCTCACGATGGAAGTACTGCCAGAGAGAGCGCCTGTGACGACGCCACCACTGACCATAAGGCATAAGGGCGATGTTGAGACTCGATCCAGATCTATCCAGCTATAGCGTCATCTGCGGCAGTAAATATGTAGCACAAGGGGACGCACAGTTCAATCATGGGTGACTGCACACGATCAGATGTGTTTGCGGATCGCTTATCGAGATAGTCGTATATCGCCTGAGCACTCCCGAGCACTACGATGTGTTGTCCGAGAACGTGGAGATGAATAATGTCCCCTTCGACGACGCCGGTCAGAGCTCGCCGAGACTTCAATAGGCAGACTGTGGCTTACCTAACACGTGGCTGAGGTCCCGATAGACTATCCACGGTCTAACGCGCGGCATGTTGAACATATTGCCAAGAATTGGAAGAGTTTTCGGTCCAGGAGGCAGAGGGCGACCGAGAGTGCGGGCTCTCCATTGTGTGCTGGAGCGCACATAGAAGACAACGATGAGGGAGATAAACGTAGATGCAAGGGCAAAGTAAGTGATCTGAGACATCGTGGTTGTTTTGGAGAGTGACCCAGCTATATTGGACGAAGATGTGAGGGCTGAACAACTATATATACCTGGTGCCCAATATCTTGAACTTACTCCACGGTAGGTTTGTGATCGGGAGTCATGGGAAGGAAGAAGGCCGCCGGTTGAAGTGCACGCATCATCGCATGACAACACACAGTATATCGAGTTTTCCATACCACGACCTTCTCGAATGCGCGACCTGGACTGCTCTGAGCGACCATACGACCGCGAAGATGGATCATTGACACTGGAATCAGCAACCGCCCGAATTAGCTATGCAGACATTGGAGTGGACGATATTTCCATCACCAGATTGCGACAGTATGACCGGCGCACTAAAGCCCCAGAGATATCAAACACTACAGACAGCGAGCTCCACGCACACCGGAATCGGATCAAACTTCCTTCTGCGGAGCTAGCGCTCTTGATAACGAGGACGACGAGGACGACTTGCACTGGTCTGCTCTTCCAGCTCAACGTGCTGCCTTCGGAGAGCGCCAAGTTCGACATCCCGCAACACATGATCGACCAGCCGACTGCGGGATTATATGACAAATTAAATCAGCGCCTGGCCACTGGTATGCATTTTCCTGCAGAGGGAAAGCAGTACTCACCATATGCCACTGGATGTGACAGTGGAAGGCCCAGAAGCCCGGGTTGTCGCCGGTGAACCGCAGGACGGCGTGCGTGTACGCGGGGATGACCAGCGTATCGCGCCTACATAGCACACACCAAGCAATCAGTACCGTGGTCTACCAAAATCTGACCAGGTGACAAAAGTTTCCGGAAGATATGCACTCACAGCATAGGCAGCGTGTTGTTGATCGTCTGGCCCTGGAAGCGCCCGTCACCCTGGCCGACGATCCAGAACTTCTGGCCATGGAGGTGGAACGGGTGGTCGCCGTCGTCTAGATTGTCAATCACCATCTGGACGACATGCTGCTCGTCGACCGTCGTGATCAGCGGCGAGTCCGCGAAGGTCGCGGAGCCGTCTGTCGTCACGTTGCCCAGGTGCGAGAAGAGACTCGCAATGCCCTTGAGTGGCTCCCAGGACTACGGCGCAACGAAGTCATGAGCACGTGTATGAGTGGGTGGTGAAGGGAAAGGACGTACGGTGTTGTTTATGAATGCGGGGAACTTCGAGATGCAGTACGCGAACACCGGGTCCGACTACATCTCGGAGACTGTGAAGTACACTTGACTGTTGAGGGTCATGAGGCCACGCTCCCGGGCCTGCGATTCGATATACGCATCGCTTATACTCACAAGACAGCATCGGGCGCGGGACCACCACCGACGGGAGCAAGGTCGCTAGTGTTCCATTCAGAAGGCGAGCCATCCGGGTGGGTGTCGTTGAGAACCCACATAGCGGATAACCCCACGGACTTCGTCTGCGCACTGACCCGGGTTGTTGTACTACGACAGAAAAGGCACCGTTCTGAGTCCGCACATGAGACCCTCCCATGTTATGTCTTCTGTGACTCACCGTGAACGCAGTTTGGTCCAATCAGCCCGGACCCAGTACGTGCCGGCTGTCTGGTTCGTCGTCAACAGCACGCCGTACCTCTGCGCAACCGCGACCGAAACGCGAGGTGACCTCGAACGGCGTCGCAGCGGTCCTGTCAGCGTGCAAACCAAGCTGTAGTCACGTGGCTATTTAAGCGCTCAAGGCTGGTGAACTGCACCATAGGTATAGTATCGGAGAAGCGTCCGCCGGAGATCCGTACAGTTCTGGTTACCCAGCGGCGGATTTTCGCAAGTATTGTCTAATTTGAGGCGAGACATCAGTATATCGTTCTGATCAAGCCAACAGGAGCGTCTGGTAGAGAACCGCAGATCCCAGCTACATCAGCAAAAAGGTGTAAGGTATGGTCGGGCATGTGCAGGTTCCGCATTACCGGCCAGATTCGCAAGGTATGACCAAGGGATGACGGAATCTGGTAGAGAACCGCGAGGAATCACCGGGCATGGCCAGAGGTGACTGGGCGCCTGGACAATGCTTGTCACTTCTAGCAGAGTGTATGGTCTTCGCGTACCGTACCGCGGTAGAACTCTGGCCGATATTGCACATTCTTGACTAAGTCAATGAACATAGATGACCAATGCTTGGTGCAATTCCTGCCATGGCTGCCCAAGTTCAAACTACGGAACGGTCATTGATCATGTTGGCGAAGACAGCTGGCCAACAAATTACAACACAATCGGAGTTTGTACTTTCGATGATAAATGATAATTTAACACAGACTACTATACATGAAAGATGTCTAGATTACTACTCGCAGAACTCGGCGAGGTTAGGGTTAGTA